TCCAACCACTGACAGTTCATGAGTAGCAGCTCAGTAAGTTAGTTCTGTTTTCAACTGCTGTTGCTTTTTTTAGCCATGCAGCAAAGAGTGAATACCAAATTTCTCTTTAAACTGGGTAAAATATTTCAACTTCCTGTGGTGATGAAGCCTGAAGCCGTAGAAATGCATCTGAGTGGTTTAAACGATTTAAGGGCGGGAGTGAAGTATCTTCAGGATGTTTCAAGAAGTGGGCGTCCTTAAACCTCTTGAGAAGCGAACAAAGTCGCAAATGTCCGTGAAATGGCAACACGAGACCGTCGATGGGCTCTCAGAATGATGGCGGATGAATTAAACACCAATAACGAGATATTTCGTCAAAACCTGCGTGAAGATTTGCGGAAGAGCAAGATCTGCGCAGGGTTCGTTCCACACAGAGTCACGGATGAGAAGAAGCTATGGAGACTCATCTTCCCATGGCTCATCCAGACTTGTGAAGAAGATTCCAATTTCTTGATTGCATTTTCTCTTTCCTGAGGTGAAACCTGCCCTCAAAGGAAAGAGGTTTCAGGATGTTGAAGGCATCAAAGAAAACGTGACGGTCGAGCTGAATGCTGTTCCTTTGCAAGCCTTCGCTGACTGTTCTCAAAAACTTTTTAAACGACTCAAGTAGACGGAGAGATTACTTTCAACAGAAATAAAACAATTTGTTTATTTTCTCATATATTTTATTTTTTCACACCAGCCAGGGAACTTTATTGCCAGACACAAACGTACACACGTATCTATAAAGGATTCACCCAGGGTAGCGTAGTTGGTTGAGGGACTATGCTACAAGCCGGAAGGTCACGGGTTCTAGTCCCGATGAGGTGGATTCTTTTCAATTGACCTAATCATTCCAGCCGCACTATGGCACTGGGGTCGACTCAGCCTCTAACAGAAATGAGTACTAGGAATCTTCCTGGAGGTAAAGGGCGGTTGATATGTAAGGCTGACAAACTTACCGCCATCTGTGAGCCGATTGTCTAGAAATATTGGAGCCTCGACGTCTCACACCCCTATGGGCCTCCGCGGCCAGTTACAGGGATAACTTTATCTATTTTCTAAGGGTATCATTGGGAGACCAGGTTGAACCAAATTATTATTTACCCTGACTCGCTGAAAGCAGAACCACGCCGCTGTGTGGCTTGAACTTCATTTGAATTGTTTAATATGTTTCTGATGATTTCAAAACGTCTACTGAAATAGAACCACGGCAAATTTACCTTGGGCCCTTAAGTTCTGACCTTTGATTTATCAAGTAATTTCTGGTCATTTTTCTTTACAAATGAATTAAAATCTTGGCTCTGGGGTCCACCCAGCCTCATATTCAATGGGTACCGGGGGCTCTTTCGTTTGGGTTAAAGCGGCCGAGACGTGAAGCTGAACATTCAGCTTCAATTAGCGCCGAGGTCATGGAAACATGGATCTATCCATCCACCCTCCCATACGCCTCCATATCGCGGTGCGTAATTAGTTAAGCACAGGAACCTAACCTGATTTTTCCCTTTGGCACTACAGCCCCAGTGGGCCTAGGCCTTCCTCCATGAACTTCTCCGTTCACTTCGGTTTTTCTAGATCTTACACATTCGGTAGGACTCCTTGGGCGGGTGATCAGCTCGTCGCAAGGCCTCTACCTGTACACAAACACAGGAAAACGCACACACACAAACTAAACATCCATGCCCTGAGTGGGATTCGAACCCACGATCCCGGTTTCCAAGCGAGCGAAGACAGTACATGCCTTAGACCGCTCGGCTACCGTAACCGGCCTTTACCTTTTTTTACCTTTTATTAATCTATTAATCGGCCTCATTACTTCTTTATCCGCGGAAGTCCGGACGCATACATGCAAGTCTTGCGGAAACCGCGCTGCCGTCTGCTGACTGAGGCAGTCTAGTCACATGCACTTCCGCCCGCTTTTCTATGGATTTGTGCCGAAGTGTTCTTTCTAGCAAGTGACAAGTTTAGAGATGGCTGTGACAGTACGTGCTTGCACCCCCTTCGTCGTCCTGGGAAATCACTCTTGTCCAATATTTGTCTTTCTTCCCGATACAGCAAAGTAGACCAAAATAACGGGACAAGACGTACATCTATCTATTCTTGCATACTATCTGAGTAACCAGACGTCACGTCTTATATAACAACATGAAGAAGAGTTCTAAAAAGAAGCTAATAGTTGCTTACAAAGTCACGAATTGCCTCGTCTTTTGCAGACGCCGAATTTCCGTGACCGTGCTCACAAAATACAGCCATTTGTCCGTATGTGATACTGTGCTGTCTGTTATAAATTCACCGACGTTGCGGAAGCACCTACTGCTCCCATCTTCACGCCATCTTACCGCTTCTTTCTTGTTCTTTGCTCGCTTATCGTATCTTAAATCCTGAACATGTAAGCAGTACATTCCTCCGAAACGCTAGTGAATTTCCACCGAACTAAACAGCGCAACATCACTCTTCATAGTGGGGCGGGAGTCCAACTGGGTCCACTCGGCACGTCGGACACTGATTGGCCTATTGTACCTGCCCCTGGTGATTATGTTGATGGAGAATTTGGTGGAGGCCTTCTCATGACCCCCTTTATGAGATCATTAAATCTAACGCAGATTAATCCACTTCAAACTCTCTCTCTCTACCTGTGTAAGATTTGAGGTTTTCACGGCGTTGACTACGAAGAAAGCAGTTTTCTGGGATGTGGCACCGTGTAATGTGGTGTTAACCGACTTTCCTCCGAAACGTCGGTTAACACCACATCTACACGGTGCCACATCCCAGAAGACTGCTTCCTTCATTTCTTTCTACCTGTTTTTCTAAAATTCAATTTAATGTTATATGTCCATCTATGTTTTTGTCTACCGAGCATTCATATACATTCAGGTTTCCAGAAATAAAGTTTGTATTTAACTGTCCCGCGCATGCTACATACCACAAGGATCTCATCCTTCTTGAGTTCATTATCCTAATGATACACAGAGCAGAGTAAAACTGCAGGACTCCTATTCGTACACATTTTTCTAGCCTCTTACTCCTTCGCCTTTCTTCGGTTCAATCATTCGTTTCAGCGCCCTGTTCTCAAACACCCTCAGTCTATGTCCTCCCTTACTATCAGAGACCAAGTTTCTCAGCCATCCAGAACTACAGGCAAAATTATAGTTTTGTATGTTTTTAGACAGCAGACGAGAAGACAAAATGTTCTGGGCTGAATGATAGCAAGCATTACCCGAGTTCAATCGCCTCTTAATTTCCTCCTGAATCAGGTTTTGATTTGTTACTGTCGTTCCCGGATATCTGGACTGTACCATATTTTCAAAGTAAAGCAAAGTCATCTTTCAACATCGTAAAATAATTAACAATAATAAGAACAGATTCCCGTTGAAATTTGAACGGGTTTTACATTAGTGATTGGATCTCAAACTATAAATCCTGTACTATTAGTTCACAGAAAACAAGCATAAACAATCACACTGTTACAGAATCCGGCGTACTCCACAGCGGAGAGAATTCGGTGTGTACTTAGAGTATCGCTTTACTGTAACAGAGAACTTGGCACTGCAAACAAGCAACTTAATACGAGTATCACTTCCCCTCGGTATATTTACCTACACATTCCCTGCTGTACATCACGAACCGTGTCGCTCAGTTTAAGGTCCTGGTGAGGATAATTATGTGCTCTTCCCTATATACACGTACATCTATATGTCCTACACCGTGCTTATTCCATGGAATATAACACACTACATAAAAAGTCTCAATTTCTTCTGAAGATGGCGTAACAGTATTCAGAAGTTTTCTTTTGTGCTTCTCCCATTTCCCGAGAATTCTTTGCATGAAAACCGTTAGGTTTCGGGTACGAGATTCGTACAGATGTGATTAGAATGTGACACCATACAGTCCGGTAGAAGTTCACAGACTTATCAGAAGAACGGTCTGATTCGAACCGGTCTAGAAAACAGAGATTAACGGTTGTGGGGATTCGTTGCGCTGACCATGTGATACCCTCTATCCGTAAAAGTTGGCACTACCTTCGCCGACAAGCGGCGGTCGCTCGTTCGGTATAGTTCACTTGCTGACTACAGGCCACGGAGTTTTTATGCTTTGCTTCCAACAGACACCAAACAACCGTAGTTGATGCTGTCTTGTCTAAATACTGGACCCTGAAGAATGAGGCAATATATAACTCGGAAACGTTGGTGAACTTCGATCGGACTATACGGTGTCACATTCCAGAAAATGATACTCTTAATTGTTCTGTTTCCTTTTTGCTCCCGGTGAACATGATATGAAGATTTTACTCGTCGTACACTGGTTCGAACCTATGTGGCACTACTCTGAGGCCGAACCAGGAATGTCTTCATATCCTGAAGAAGGAAATAACGTCACCTTCCGAAACATTGGTGTTTTTATATATGTGAAAGGAATGGGAGGAGTGCTGAAGTCCATAACAGAGTTAAAATAGTCATATTACAGTCGAAGCGCCTCGAAAGACGCATTAGTAAGAGTGAATAAACATGAATCGATTAATCGATGCAACACAGTGCTTAGGTATATTACCGAGGCACTATGCTACAAGCCGGAAGGTCGCGGGTTCGATTTTCTATTAGGTCAATGGATTTTTTTAATTGACCTACTCCTTCCAGCCATACTATGACCCTGGGGTCGACTCAGCCTCTAACAGAAATGAGTACCAGGAATCTTCCTGGGGGGTTAAGGGCGGCCGCCGACATTCTAGAAAATGCGGGAGCCTCGACGTCTCACTACCCTATGGGCCTCCACGGCCTGTTAGAGCGATGGTTTTACCTTTTTTGTCATAACCGTACACATAGAAGCCTGGCTCAGGTCCGTCAGGCAAAGGTCCTCCTAACGCTATACAAAATGCTGTTCATACAGGAGTGACACTGTGTCACGTGATCACTGGTAAAATTCATAGTTTTCCAGTCTAACTTGAATACGTTTTAACAAAAGGTTTTCTCTTTATTTCAGGGACTACTACTATGACAGGTAAGTAATGGGACTTCGAATGCAATTGACTGCCGTCTTCAGGAAATACTGACTGCACAAGCAAGATGAAGAATAATGTCTAGTGGCAGGTGATGCCATGCATTCTGCTAGACGTTTACCGACGTTTCAGGAGGAACATGCCGCCTACATCTTGAGAGTAGACGAGGAAGTTGAGGTCGGAAATGTTGGTACGCATGTAAGGGACGGAGGAAACTGTGTTTCGGTCCCTGAACACTACAGTGGAAGTACAGGCAGCGGTGAAAGTTTGTGAGGCCTTGAAAGGGCATTTTAAAACAAATAAAAATTTACTGAAGTTTTCGCTTTCACTTAAGCAAAATATTCAAAGTTTTCGAAGTCAAACATCAAACTATTTATAAAGCATATATACATAAAAAAGAAACTCCATGGCTTTAGTCCGCAAGCGAACTACACCGACCAAGCGATCGCCGCTTGTCGGCGAAGTTAGTGCCAACTTTTGCTGATAGAGGGTGTCGCGTGATCAGCGCAACTATGGGAAATGAAACATTAGGAGACTGGAGAAAACTGCACGATAAGGAGCTTCATAATTCGTACTCCTCTACAAATATTATAAGAATGATTAAACGAGGGACGACGAGCTGGTAGGGCACGCATGAGAGAGATGACAAATATGTGCAAATTCCTGATAGAAAGTCGGAAGGAAGGAGACCACTAGGAAGGCGTAGGCTTAGATGGAAAGATAATAAAATTCATGTGGCTCGAGATAGAGATCAGTTTCGGCATTTATTTTTGTAATACGGCAAGGAAATTTCAGGTTCCATAATATAATAGCTTGAGTAGCTGAACAAGTATTGCCTCCTCAAGGAAGATTCCGCTGTAGCCTAATTCCTGTGTTAGCAGTTTAACCGTCACCGGCCTATAATTCATCCGGCAGTAAGAGTCTTTCCGGTATCCAAACAGTGAAGCAGCTCTCTCCTGCCCCTTTCTATATTAGCCCGGCCTCCCAATACTTCTGGCCGCTCTCAAGAATAGCTGATCCTACCGTTAAAGTTAATTGAATTTTCTCTGCGTTCGCGAACTTTTAACCTCAAACTGACTTCCAGCGGGCGCGCGAGCACTTTATGCGGCGAAATGTCTGAGGCATGCATGTGAGCATGTACAGCACAAGGCGGTGGGGCAGTGCAAAGCACCCCACCCCGGTGATAGACATACCAATCAGGGTACACATTTCCTCGATTTAACGCTTAAAATTCTGTGTTATATTACATGACGTTTTTTAAAAATATTAATTAAAAGCGCCGAATAAACCATTTAATGTCAAATTTACTGTATTCTACACAGACATAGTTTGGCTTCATCAGGGCGTCATTGGATTAATTTCTTGTAACATTACATGAGTATATACTAGTACAATTATAACTTTATTTTATTTTTGGTCATGAAAAGTTCTATCTTCTCTGAAATAACGCCAATGTAGCCAAAAGTCAATCGACGTTTCGGAAGAACATGTTTTTGCGGGCTTGAAGAGCAAGTCAACTAAGAAACCAGCATGAAGCAGGTAGAAAGCAAAGCTATATAAAAATTAATCGCCTGCTTTCCTATCATACGAATGGACCGCATACGAAAAGAGGCCTCCAACTATTCTTCGTTGCCACGGGAACGTCTTTACCGAGTTGTTACATATAGGAGGACAGACACACTCACAGGCTCTCTTTTGAAAAGACACGGACCGCAAAGAAAAATGACAGGTCCAGTAATTCTTCTATTATTATGTGTATTCACTGCCACGGAGACGTGTTTACAGAGCCGTTGTTTAGCGACTAAAGAAGGGATAAATCTTACCGAGCCGTTGCCTAGCAACGATAGGAAGGATACACATAACAGACATACAGATTAATCGGAGTGGTTTATGTAGCACGCCGTTGAGATGGGCTCAGTTGGCATGATATACATACCAAGTTTCATAAAGATTTGTTAAGGAATTCAGAATCATTGGGGGGGGGGGTGTCCACGGAGACACAGACTGATCTCGTAGGCCTACTTTAGGAAAATAGGCTAATAAAATGTAAGGTTGGAGGTTATCACGGCGATGACTATGAAGAATGCCGTCTTCTGGGATGTGGCACCGTGTAGATATTGCGTAAACCGACGTTTCGGAGGAATGTATAGCATCTATCTTCAGGGTATAAGAAAAAAATCCGCGGGCGAGGAACCAGCGTGAGCAGATGGCTGCAGACTGAGCCACCAGTCGAAGTTCCTCCGAAACGTCGGTTTACACAATATCTACACGACGCCACATCCCAGAAAACAGCATTCTTCAGGCTAATAAAATGTTTGCATCGTATTTTTATAGTGAGTGTATAACTGATCCCATGTCCTCTTATAAACTGTAACTGGAGTCCAAAGAAGATGTTTTCACGTCATTACCTTCCCAATCTGTCGCAGAGCGAGTAGGTTACAAGTGCCTTTTGGAAAGCAAGCGCTGTGTAAGATTCCGAAGTTTAATTACTGAGGCGCTACGAGAAGAAGGGCGCTGTTTAATTCTAACACTGTTATTATACGAAAGAAGAAGTTCAGAAATGGGACGGAAATTCCCGTCTACTCGAAACGTGATGGCCGTGTTAGAATGTTCATACTTTAAAACACAACACAAAGGCAGCTTTCCTTATGCTGCGCCTTTTTCTAAAACTTCTCAGAAACTGCTGAACCGAATATTATTAACGGCTCATGTTCGTTCGTGCATTGTACATTCTGATATCCCCCAAACTCTCTTCAGTTTATAGAGAAGTTAATAAGGAGGAACGCCATTACCAACAAAGCCTTCCAGATACAGTCACGTGATTCGAGTCCTTGTTCATGTTACACTACAGCCGACTCTACTTTTCAATTAAATTTTCCCTGTACGAGATGGGGATGAAAGGGGGGGGTTACAGTGCTGTCCGTTCCTAGATTATACAGCATGGGTTAACAAGATGATTCACGAGGAAAGAACTGGAGATCATTTGGGAAGTGGTCGTGGCATGTTGGAGGTTCTCTCTGCTGTACTGAGTGATAAACACGAAAAAACCTCAGAATACTCAATGATCAGGCTGGGACTCGAACCTAGAAACTCCTACATTAAAGTCTAAAGCGCTACCGCTAAGCTAACCCTCTAGATACATAATCTGTTTGTAACTAATTTCCTTCAAACTTTTGCTCGGACCATCAACAGATAAAACTCAAATTAATTGCATGACGAAAATCGAGGTTCTCACACTCATGAATATAAAGACTTCTCGGGAGTGACGCCGTTTAGTCTGACAGATATTAATAAAAGTTTCGGGGAGAAAAAACCTGCTGCATCCATCTTCAGGATATAAGAGGAACTTTGCCATACTTTCATACCCTAGAGATGGAGACAGAGCGTTACTACGCAACGTCGATTAGCAGCTACAAGACTAGACGGAATCATAAACCATACGAGACACAATGCTATATTGGTTATTAAGCAACATTTCTTTCAAATACAGGCTATATGCCTACTGATGAGCCTTCTGTGTGACAGGGTACGAATCCCGGTCATTCTGCCCGAGGAATTCGTGGTACCCCTCGAAACTTCGAGGTAAACTCCGGGATAGTGCCTCAGCTAAGGCCACGACAGCTCCTTCTAGATCCTTTCCAATTATCTATTCACCAATCACCCCACGATTCGACGCTACAGTCATATACTCTGACCTATCCATTAAACAAATAACCAATTTCAGAATGGCCGTTTTTCGGTCTTAGATTACTTAACTACGCTGTCAGTAAAAAAGATGAAGGTAAAGTTATCCCTGTAACAGCCCGTGGGGGCCCCTAGGGTTGTGAGCCGTCGAGGCTCACACATTTTCTAGACAATCGGCTCATAGATAGCGGTAAGGTTGTCAGCCTTAGACATCGACCGCCCTTTATCCCCCAAGAAGATTCCTGATACTCACTTCTGTTAGATTCTGAGTCGATCCCAGGGCCATAGTGCGGCTGGAAGGATTAGGTCAATTGCAAAATCCAATGACTTCATCGGGAATCGAACCCGCGACCTTCCTGCTTGTAGCATAGTGTCTCAACCAACTACGCTACCACGTGACCCGACGCTGACAGTTTCGAGACTATGTCAGATGATTAGTGATTAATGCAGTGAAAACTTGCAGGAGAAACTGGAGTATTTGGAGAAAAAACCCGCCGCACTTCTATTCTGTCCATCACAAATCCCACATGAACTGACGTGGCATCGAACCGCGGTGGGAAGCCAGCGACTAACCGCCTGAGCTATGGCATGGCGCTGGTCGGCTTCCACCATACGTTACAAGTTCCACTTGAGTACCGTGTCTTGATGAATTCGTGATACGCGTCATCTGATGGCTCCCAGAGCTGCCGGGGGACAGGACATAACCGGTTCTTCCCACACACCAGCTCAGGTCCACGTGACAGTTCGTCACAAAATGAACAACAAACACACTATGACCAGACTGAAACTGTAATGATCTTTATTGGTTACTTTGTCATACGAGATAGACTGTTCTATGAAATCTTTGATATGATGTACAAAAGGAGGTCAATACAAACTGTCAATACCATAAACTGTACACTGTTAACGTAACAAACAAACATAAACGTATGTATATGGAGTGCGTTCATACTCATATCCGCGATAAAACTAATTGAGGTTTTGAGGTTCTGAGGTTCCCACACCGATAATTATGAAGAGCTCTAACTTCTGGGATGTGACGCCGCGTAGTCCGGTAGTTTATCAAGTTTTGATGGGACGTGCGCTCTGTCCTAAGGGTCTTTCTTGTCTCCTGCTTCTTATTATACGTTTCTCCGCAACGTCCGTTAACATTTACCAGAGTTTGATATCCTAGAAGATTGTTTTATAACTGAATAACCGGACAAGAGTAAGATAAAATACAAAACTGAGTCAACATTTTTGGCCGAGTTAAGGCAACTGCGCGCGCAGCTCACTGGTCATGCGCGAGAGCACCTACCGTGGCCTCAGAGCGGACAAT